CACACACCGACACACACCGACACACACTCACACGTCAGTGCTGCTGTTTGCATAAAAACCCTTCGACTCAGTGACCTCTGCTGTTTGGATCACAGGTTCCATCAGACTCAGTGGAAGAAACAAACAAGTTATTATTATTATTCTGTCTGACGGATGTTGAGTTGACTCAAATCAATCAATCAATCAAATTCAAGTTCTCTGTGTTCTCGGTTGTTTCAGGGTTTTTAATCGACAGCAGCTCTTCAGATCATCGGTGCTGAAGTCTAGTTAATCGCACACGGATCTCAACTCTCTCACACCCTTGTGGATCATTTGTCCGAATCGATCAGATCAGGTTTCCACGTGTTGAGAAGCAGAGGAATGAAAACCTTAACGAATCCCAGTTCACCCCCACAAAGCTTTGAACTGATAACTAACGCTTTATATTCAATATATACGGTTTTCCATTTAACACGTAGCATCAGGTGTCAACAAATGATCATAACTCAAAGTGATGAGAAACAAAAGTACAGAACATTATCTGGCTGAACAATAATATCAACATCCAATAAAAAATAGATGATGAGCACAACCACTGGTCAGGCTGCGTTCACACTAACACACGTGTCACGTCACCATTCACGCACACTGGTCATGTGTTGTAAACAGGAAGTAGATTGTCTCTGCAGTCCGTTGCTTAATAACAGAAAATAATACGAGCGTTGCTAACACTTCCTGTCAGTGACAGTTCCACCTCGTCGTCGCTCATCACTGTTCTCACATCAGAGGAGTTTCTGTTACTGATCAACCAACTGCAGAGACAATCGACTTCCTGTTGAATTATTTCCGACACGAAGTTCAAACGTGGACGGAGATAACTTTAATTTAAAAATAAAACGTGTCAGTGTGGACGTCGCCTCGGCCTCTGGAAGGTGTCTGCACGATCCACGAAACACTTTTTAAACACCTTATTGATGCAACTCATTTTTTTTTTTTTTTATAAAATCAACTCTCTTGAAAGAAATCATCCTCCGATGGACGTTTAAGTTTAACACTCGAAAGACTTAAAGTGACATCATTTAAAGACGCTTACAGGACCTGCGGACACGCTGCTGAGAAACAAGAATGATCAGTGACTCAGGTTAATGTTCTGCCAAGTTAAAGGACGACTAATTCCACTTGACGACACATAATAGCTTCGTATATAAAATATCTATTAACACTGTCAACGAAAACTAAGTACTGGGCACATTTTACACCAAATACCATCTTTACATTTACATTCTTATGATTGGATGAGCACAAAAACATGGCGTGTAAACAGAGGAGCGATGGTGTTAAAGAAGCCGCCACGACTCATTTACTGCAGATGTACTGAATGTGTTCACGGCACTGATAAGTCACTTTGGATGAAAGCGTTTGATACAACGTCATTCGGTTTGTTGGAGAATCTCCACCCGTTTCTGTGCCGACGAGGATGCGAGTTTAAGCCTGAACGAGCGACGGGACGAGAGTCAGGTCTTAAAACGCAGCGTCTCTTTCAGCGTTGAGCTAGAACATTAACTCGGTACATTCGTTATACTGTGTGTGTGGTGTCCTGCAGAACTTGGTCGAGCTGCATGATCAGGAAATAATCTAATGGAGGATAAAACCAAACTTTTTTATTTTCCAGTTCGCCAAAGCTTGAGCACAAAGACGGGTTGAAGCTTTGATTTAAGAACAAGTCTGGTTAGTTCTACTCATTCTTCATTGATCGTCAAGCGTTCATGGTAATGAAGGAACACGTCGCTCTGTGGCTCGGAGGAATTCAATCTTTGAGGCTACTTGTTCCGTCACTGAGTAGTGATGGATGAAGGCTGGCAGATTCCCTCTCCGTCCAGTCTTTGTGCTAAGCTAGGCTAACACGGCCTGAATCGCTCTGGAAAGATGAAACTGATTCTATCTTCTGGTTTATGTTGGACGCAAGCGTTCCTTCCCAAACCGGTTGCACGGCTCCTTTTGAGTTAAGTGGCTTATACTTAATTGATTTTAGCCTCCACCGTATCTCTGGTGTAACATCCTGCTCTGGGGTCAGACCGCCGGGCGGGTTCGCTGCGTACAGAAGGACCAACTGTCGGGAAACATTGAACTCACAGTAAATACTAAACATGTAACGTTATGTACAGTTATCCGTGTGCGTGTTGGCCCTCATGTAGTGAAGCTCACTCACTCGAGCGAAAGCCAACATGAAAAATGAGCTCGACCCAGATCTGATGTCATCAAAGTCATGTCTGTGCCTAACAGAGCAAACCAGAGCGGCGAGGAGGCGTCACTCAACGGTTTGTGAGTTTGTCCAGCGCCATCTTGGGTTTTTTGAGTGGGGGTGGAGCCTGGCTGAGAGCTGGATGCACGCCCACCTGCACTCATTGGTCATCACACAGAATACAGGAACTTCATTGGCTCCACTTTCTGGACTTGTCCCCGTCACTGACTGTTAGAGCTGACGAGAAAAAGGAAATCCACCGTCTCCTCTCTCGCCACAGGGCGACGCTCTATATTTAAATGAACCTACACTTCATTCAAATACTTCACAAATGTCTGTTGGTGGAGGAAGTTCCAAACATTTAACTATCAGGATAATTTCAGCAGTTTGACCTTAAAAAGCACAGACAGGAAGAAGATGACTGGACTGACGGGGAGTTTGAGGCAGAAGCAGGCTGAGATGTGAAGGTTCCACCAGAGGAGAGGACGAGTCGTCAGCATCACTGAGTAAATGACTCGTTTCCACGATCAGACCTCGTCTGTTGTTCACTCACAGTCAGGAAATAAAAACTAGTTTGTCCAAAGAGCAGAGGAAATAAACCAAACATCCGTTTCAGTAAAGACTGAGACAAACTGAACTTGATGGATTTGTGCTGTTAAATTTGACAGAAGACGAGAAGCTGTCGCACGTTTCTGTTTGAGCAGTGACAGTTTATCTACAGTCACATTCACCTCAGTTCAATAATCTCTGGGAAATATCAAATGCAAGATAACTTTTAAAATAACATCAGCACGTGATTTGTTCCTTGTGACTTTGACGTTACTGAACTTTTCCACAGATTATCGTACTGAAATCAAGTCATTGTGTAAAAAGGTTGAGCCCACTGACCCCCCCTCTCCCTGGCGTCTCCCTACATGTCTAGGCCTCGTACCCGGCGGACCGGCGGCGCTGGTGGTTCCAGATGTCGTCTCTGTGTTCGGGTCGGCAGAAGAGCCTGGACGACTGAGCCAGCCGCTCCATGTGCTCCCGCTCCCGGTCTCGGTCTCCACCTGGTTTGGAGAACGGAGGACGGCCGCTGAAGTGGGAGGAAAAGGGCGTCCTGCTGTCGTGGAAACCAGACGAGGACAGCGGACCTCCTGCTGACCTGGAAATGACAAGAGAACATGGACATGTCTGTGTAAACCACATGAACCAGATCTCCAGATCCCCTGAGGTTGAACCTCTTTGTTTACAGTCTATGGGCTGAACACACAACATGCTGTTACAGCTTCTTAACCTTAAATCAGCAGTTTGATGTTTGACTGTGAATATGGACCATGGTCCTCACCCTGAGATGATCACAAACAAACTCTGCTCTGTGTAACTTTGGGGAGCGGGGACGAGAAGAACTGAGTCACAGCTTTACGACCTCAGCTGGTTTAATGTCACAGAGCGACGGGTTGCTCACCTGCTTTTAGTGATTCTGTGATGTCCGTTATCAGTTGGCTGCTGGTGGTGCTGAGAAGACAAGAGACGTGACTCAAGGACCAGCAGTCAAGACTTCTTCAACTTTTAACGAACATTGAAGTTCTGTGCGTGTGTGTGTGTGTGTGTGTGTGTGTGTGTGCTCTGTTGTTGTACCTTGTAGTGGTTGCACTGCGGCGGACTGCCGTTAACCTGGTAGTACTCCACCAGCCTCTCGGCCAGAGCGATGCGCCGTAGCAGGTCCTCGATGAAGCGCTGGATTCGAACTTTACCACACGTCTCCTGTCGAGCCGCTGCTTCCAAAAACTTCTGGATAGTTATCACCTCCCTGGAAAAACAAACAACGTGAACAGATGATACCGACAATAACCCTAAAAAAATTACCCATAATTCCCTTTGATCTGAGAATAAGGAACAAGAGAGTAAATCTGGCCAAGTCTGCATTATCGTTTTTTTTTAAGTCAGTTGTTACTGTATGAAATTCTTGACAGAGTTTTGTCTTCTCAGTGAAGAGGTGAACTGAGCACGTCCTGGGAGCAAATTACCCATAATTCCATCGGTCTCCCGCACGTGCACAGACAACTTGACAGGTTAAAGGAAAGCTCCTCAAAACCTAGCTCCCACATTACCCATAATGCATCTCAAACACCAATGCTGCCTCAGATGACATCATCTATGTTTCTCAGTCAGTCAGCGCCGCTGCCCGTTCACCTCTCTCGTCGCTCCAGTTCATTCTCTGAGGCGTTGAGCTGCTCCCTCAGAGCCGCAATCACCATGACGGCGACATCCACCTGCCGGCTCAACGACCGCTCCCGCTCGGCCACCTCCTGCCTCTCCTGGGCCAGGTGCTGCGAGTGAGCGCGTTCACACAGGAGCTCCGTGTCCGTCTGGGCCAGCTCCGTGCTCACCTTGGCCAGCCGCCGCTGCATGGTGCTGTCGGCCGCCCGCAGGATGTTGGCCAGTCGCCGATGCACTGCCGCCGAGGCTGCTGCTGTCTCCAGACCAGAGTAGTAGTTCTGCTCTGGTGGTTACAGGACAAGAAATGAGTCACTGCAGGTGTCACCATGATTATCGATCACTGAAACGTGATCAACATTTAACGACCTGAAAACCCACTTCTATAAAAACGTGAAGTAAGAAAATCTGAACGCACCGACCAGGTCCAGGTCTGGATCCAGATCCGTGTCCAGGTCCAGATCTGCTGGTTGTCCGAGATGAGCAAGAGGAGGAAACAGGAAGTGATGGTGTCCTGCATCTGACTTTTTCCTTTTAATGTCCTCCTCATTTCTGCCGCCGTCTCTATCGTCATCTTCCTCCTCTTCGTCCTCCTCCTCTGATCCTCCGTCCTCTTCATCTTCCTCCGCCTCCTCATCCTCTGCCTGCGTTCCCACCCCGACGCTCTGGGTCCGCCTCCTCACAGAGCTGTAGGAGTGGAGGTACCCGCTGTCCCTGCTGTCGCTGAGGGAGCGTACGTGAGGTGGCCGCCCTGTGCTCTGCTGCCCCCTGCGTGTCGGGAGGCTCATGTCATGCCAGGGAATCGCCGCCGTCAGTGGGTCAGGGAGTTTGCCGGTGATGCTGAAGCCGCTGGTGTCCACGTCCGGTGAGCGGTACGAGTGGCGGTACTCCAGGTGGGCGCGGAGTGAGGCCAGGCTGTGGAAGCGCTCCAGCTCGTCACAGCGGGGGCAGCGGAAGGGGAGGTCGATGGGGTCGGTGATGGCGCCGCAGGCCTGGCCATTCCTCTCTAAGAGGAAAGAACTACAACCTCTGGAACACAACTTCTGCTGCATCACGCTGCACCTGCAAAACAGGAAGAGAAAACTGAAGACGTGAATCAGAAAACTGGGTATCAAGGAAGATGTGTATTATTTATCTTCATTTATCCTTTTCCAGCTTCTCAAATCAAGGATTTGCTTTCCTGTTCTAATTCATTTCAAAATGAATACTGTTAGCTGAAGCTATCTCAGTTAGCTGCTATGTTGGCTAATATTTGCTCTGTTAATTGATCTGTTAGCTGCTCTGTTAGTTCAAAGTTAGCTGCTCTCTAAGCTGCTCTGTTGGCTAGTGTTAGCTGCTCTATAAGCTGCTCTGTTCATTGATCTGTTAGCTGCTCTGTTAGCCCAGTTAGCTGCTCTATAAGCTGCTCTGTTCATTGATCTGTTAGCTGCTCTGTTGGCTAGTGTTAGCTGCTCTATAAGCTGCTCTGTTCATTGATCTGTTAGCTGCTCTGTTAGTTCAAAGTTAGCTGCTCTATAAGCTGCTCTGTTAGCCCACTTAGCTATTCCTTTGGCTGCTCTATTAGCTCAGATATTAGCTCTGTTTGCTGCTCTGTTAGCCAACGTTAGCTCAGACATCAAACCCCCGCTGAATCAGCACCGGGACTCGGCTCCGGTTCTTACCGGCGGAGGATGAACGGCAGCGGGGTGAAGGTCTAACTGTGACCGTGCGGAGGAGTCATCACGTCGGACTCACTCACACACACACACCGGGGAGGCAGCAGCATGACGTCACTCCTCCAGAAGAGAGGACCACAGGTTCATTTAGAGAGTGACACACATCCGGTCAGCCCCTTCAAAATTAAAGGAACGAGTTTCTGTTTCCGGGCCGGACTCCTCAATAAAATGAAATAAAACTCGAACTGAGAAATATTTGTTTGTCTTATACATTAAAATATAAAAAAAGTCTATTTACAAAGTTCTAGATATTTAATATTAAATTAAAATACAGAAAAGATGTGAGTTAAGTAAAGAGCAAATTCTATATTATTATTTTTATTACACAATTAGTATTATTATTATTATTATTATTATTATATGAAAAATTGCCACATCCTCTAGAATCAAATCCAGCATGAAGCGAAACATCCATTGCATCTTTATTAATATATAGTAAAACTTAGTATGAATGAATAAAGACAGGAACCGTGTTAACCTCTGAGAACTTACAGAATCAAGTAGAATTGGTCTCAGCATCATGCTGCTCAGTGATGTACAGTACTATGTGTAATATAAAGTATGATGTACACTGTATATTTGAGATAATCTGATCACAGTTTTGCTTCATTGCCACAGTTTAAAGTTATGTCCAGGATTCATTCATGAGTTCACGTAGCTGAAGAAAGAAATAAAACTGAAGTGTTGTTTTAATCAGGTGTCAAACATCAGTGAATAAAAAGAACCAGGATGTAAACATTCAGCTGCAGTTGTCACCATGTACTTGTCGATACGATCACATGGGGGCACTACAGTTTAAATCTAGGGCTTTAATACACAGGAGTTAAAATGATCTTTGAAACTTTGAGAAAGTTTTACTCAGTTTTCATAAACGTTAAATGTTCAGGTGAAATTACTGAGAGGATAAAGGAACTAAACTTCAGAGAGGTGTTTTAGTTTGGTCCTTGTCTCATCTACTAACAAGGAGGAGGTAGGGTTCATGAAAAATAATGCAAAGCTTCACTTTTGGTATCTGTCAGGTCGCCCATGTTCATTCACTGATGTTTGACTTAATCCAGACGTCGGTGACGTGCAGCTGCACGAGAGAGGAAACAGTTTAAAGAAATATGAATATCTTCTGTTTGATGAGAAGAAAAATCCTCTGAGAGAAACTTTGATTTATCAACATGTCGTATCTTGTTTGTTTCATCAGAGACAAAGTTTAAAATCGATAACTTTCTGTTTTCCTGTGTTTCACCTGAGACACTCTTTCTTCAATGCTGCACAACAAAGCTTCACAGACTTTAAAACTGAGAATAAACCTTGATCCACTTCTTCTTCTTCTTCTTCTTCATCCATGTTGCCTTGAACCAGTCACAGTGGGACATTTGGCCCTGAACTGAGACTGTCAGGCTGTGTTTCCTGTCTGTGATAACGCCCCCTACAGACTGAGGTGAGAATGGTTAAATGTTGACGTGGTGTTAGTGTTTCAGTCCAAACGAGTTGGCGAAGGATCCGTCTAATGCCTGACTGAGGGGACGAGTGTCAGACCCTCCCTCCTTCCTTTCCTGCTTCCTTGCTTCCTACTGACAGTGTTGTTGGTATTGAAGTTTCTCTCCCAGCCGGGTCCCTGCCAGGTGTTTGTCGAAGGCCTCGTCCATCTCTCGACTCTGCTCAGGTGTGAAATGGTTCCTCCAGTCCCCAACTTCACCTGCGCGAAACAAAAACACGTGGCACAGTTAAAGTTCTGTAAATTCAAAATAATAAGAACAAAAGGAAAAATTTAAATGGGATTTTGATTGGGCCAAAGGATCGCAGTTTCATTTTGGTTATAAAACAAGATTCGTGCACCTTTTCTGAAGATGACGTTTCCCATGGGGCCGTGGGAGTTGGCCGAGCTCTCCTTCATGGAGGTGAAGGAGCTCTTCTCTGTGATCTGCGTCACCTGAGCCTCCGTCAGGGGGAAACCGAAGAAGCTGGAGATCTGACGGACGGCCTCGCTCAGGTCCTGCAGGACAGGAAACAAACAGACTCACGGAGTGAACGTTGAAACCAAACATAATCATTTCAATCACTGAAGGAATGTTTGGAGAATAGAAATAGAAAAAACTGACGCTGCTGAAAAATCTTGTTTCTGAAAATGTGTCTTACTTTTTGACTGAAAAATAATTGAGCAGGTTTAGCATCAGAAAAGAAATTCTCATTTTAACAAATAAGATATTTTGAGCTCATATTGAAAACAAGTGAACCAGTAACAAGCAACAACAAAGATTAGAATGTTAATGTTAAAACACTTTCACAACTTCTACATTTCAGGATCTTATGAAATGTTTGAACCTATTTTAATTTATTCTAAATATCATAAACAAAAAGTGTGTGTGTGTGTGTGTGTGTGTGTGTGTGTGTGTGTGTGTGTGTGTGTGCGTTACCTGCTTTAATTCCTCATAGGTGACGATCATGACGTTAGGGTCATTCATCCTCTTCTCCCAGGCCAAAGCGTGATCAAAGTACGATCCCCAAGGAACTGCAGGCAGACACACACACACACATAAAATCATAACTTGGTTGAACTTTCTAAAGATTAACAATTATAATCAGTGTCTCTGGTTTATATTGAACTAATGAACGCTGTCAGTTTTCCTGTGTTTGCTGGTTTTCTCACCGTCTCCGCTCAGGAAGTGGGAGAAGAAAGATTCCCAGGACTGTCCGGACGGGAGGACCGGGTTGTTGTTGGTGAAGTGATAGAAAGAAACCAGAGTGTCTTTAGGATTCCTGAAGATCACCAGCATCTGAACAAAACACAACACCACACATTTTTTAATTTACTGAACTCTAAAGGTGCCGGTGAGGACGGAGAGCAAAGGAAAGAGTTTGACCTGTTGACCTTTTGAAGAAGGAGTTTGGTTTTTACCTTTGTCTTCTTGGTGTAGAAGGAGGTGGGGATGTTGTCGGGGTGCATGTGAGTCCCCAGACACCTCGGAGAAGGAGACTGGTCCATGAGCTGAGAGGAAAGTTTTCAACATAACTGCAGAGATTATTTTGATGCACATGAATTAAACCGGTCAGAGACCAACAGGAGTTTCAGCTGCTGCAGATTCACTCTGGTTTAAATGGCCTCAAACACAAGATCCTCAGAAACAGCTGATCTGCACCTTTTCCTCATCGACCTGAATCAACACTTTTCATTTTATTAGATGTGACATTTAAACCGGTAAGTCAACATTTTCTTTAAAAAGAATCCAGAAGTTTCAGCCTCTGTTAAATTCACTTTCTCTAAATGATCCCAGAGAAATCAGACACAAGTCCGAAACCCCCCATATACACACACACACACACACACACACACACACACACACACACACACACACACACACGGTGAATACCTTCAAGACGTCCGGTCCGAGGAACTCGATCAGCGGCGGCATCCTGGATTCCGTTTTCATCCCTGTGGCCTCTGCGATGATCTTCTTCACCACCCCCACCATCCAGTTGAAGCCTGCAGGTATGAAGCTGTTACTGTTCTGATCCTGCTCAACATGTAAAGTTCAGCTGAGGCAGGAAATGTGAGGAAATGATGCAGAACACCAGCTTCCTTGTTCTCTGTGCAGGAGCTTCTTAACTTTGACTTTGACTCCAGCTCCAGCTCCGAGTTGAATTCATTGTTTATTATGTCACTGATCTGTGTTCTGCCTCCAGGTCACTCAGCTCGTCCTCACAACAACTCTGTCAATCCTGCGTCTCTTCTAAGAACGACCGGAGAGTTTTCTCTGGTGATGTAATCTCTGGAATAATCTCCACACATTCGGTCTTGTTCTAATAACGACAATTTCCCTCTGGATTCAGCCTGACTTTGTATTTCACAGTTTTTACTTTGGCTCAGCTCCTGTTGTTTTTAACATGTATGAAGTCATCTGACTTTATTCAAGTATGTTTCTGCTCAGACGCTCACAAAACTCGATTAGAGTTTGTGAAAGTTTCCTGGTCTGGGATCTGGAAAATGTGAATTTTTACAACAGTCATTAGAGTCTAACTTCAGAGAAACGTCTCGAATGCTTGAAGAACACAACCCCAACGCTCCTGCTGGTTTCAGTCGTCTGTGCAGGTTTTCACAAAACATTTCTGCTTCTTCCACAATCATCAGAGTCACGTGGTGCAGCAGAGACGTTAATTAAAGGTAAAAAAAAACAAATGACAGAGTCGTAAACAGCAGCAGACGATAAACTTGATGAGGTGAAGGACGGGTTGATCCTCTTCTCAACTGCCTGCATCGGAAGGCCGCTCAACAGAGGCGTCCCATTGGCCAGAACAGAGGATGGCATGCATGGTCTCACGCCCGTAGATAAATAATCTGTGTTATAACAACGTGGGCCCCGTCCAGGCGGGCCCCTACATATGCTCGGACATGTGGGATGGGTGTGTGAGACCTGACATTCCTCCAAAGGTAATTAGCTCGTCTGTCTTCGTGTCGTCTCTCCACCACTGAGCTTGCGTGCGAAAGCCTTTTCAAAAAGTAAACAGGACACATTTCTGGAACGCACTGCAGCGACGGCAGGAATGTGTCACGCCACTTCCTCCAGTGAAACCGCACAACGAGAGCTGAGGGATTAAAGCTGCCGTCAAACATCAATAGAGCGTCACAGCGTTCATTCAAGGATCCGTGCAGTGAGAGTTCCCATCATTCCTGCAAAGTCATGTCAGGAGAGTGGTTGTTTCAGCTTCAGGGGTGAAAGGTTAAAGTGTTTCTCTGTTCGAACGCACGATGAGAGAAAATACAATCATTTGAAGTCACTTCAGTGAATCTGAAGCTGGAGACGGTTTGTTCAGGTGATTAATATTATTGATCAAAACAATAAGCAGTGAGGGATGATGGGAGTTGTAGTCTTCTCTTCAGGGCCTCCGCTCTCAGTTTGGTGTCGGATGTTTTATGTCACTGTTGTAAAAATCCACTTCAAAGTTTCAGTCCACTCCTTTATTTGCAGAATGTTATCGTCATTCGCTGAACGTGTCGAGAAAACACTTTGGTTTTCTTCCACAAAATAAAAGTCAGATTGTTCCTGAATGATTTCAAAGCAACTAAACTCTAACTACATTTACATTTCACTGACTCCAGTATTTCCTCCCATTCAGTGCAGGTGTTTGTGGGAAACTCCTCAAACCAAGAGCAAACAAATGTTATGAAGTTATTGGAAATTTAATTTCCTCTAATCTCAGCGTAACGTTAGAAACTCAAGAGGCCATGATGATGAAGTACACTACTTACTTTTACTCAGTTACAAAAGGTTAATGTGGTACTTGCCAGTACATTTGTGTGTAGTTGTTTGCTCTCTTACTGAACTCACTGCTGCTGAATGACTTTGTCCCCTGAGCGGAACACATTTCTTCGGAGCCCTGAAGTCTCAGAAGATGATTATTTTTCATCTCGTACACACAAAATATATTTTAAGATGTTTGTGTTTTAATCACTTAGATGCACACATTGTACCATAGATGGAGAAAACTCAGCTAATCAGGTTTTATTTTACGTGGGAATGTCACACAGTGAGATTCTTGTTGCTCTTGCACAGAGACACAAGTTTGTCAGGAATCATTTGAAGGAAAACAGGCTCAGGCGAGGAAAGGACTATGTAGTAATCATCATCTTTAAATTAACAAAGTCTATAAAGCTGTAAACACATTTAGTGTTGTCTATAAAGCATCAACCAGTCGTGTCTTTACTACGCAGATATTAACTCGTGTGCACAAGATAATTATCAACTTGTTCCCACGAGATAATAACTTACATAACGTACACTTCTACAGTTTTTAACAAAAGATAAAATATTTGCCACAGATTAAAATCCTCCCTGTGACGACAGTAACATTGACCGTGCAGCTCAAACATGAAGTCGGCAGATGTTCAGAATTAAAATGAGGATCAGGAACAAAGGAAAAACCTCACTCAGGAAATTACAACTTTAACGGAGCTCTTTTTGATTTTACAACAACAAATCTTCAACAGACGCTCCCAGGGCCCCTCATCCCTTGGGCCCCTCATCCCTTGGGCCCCAGATTCCTTGGGCCCCAGATTCCTTGGGCCCCTTGGCCTGCAGCTGGTGAGAATCCTAAATAAACCCACCCATGGGTCAGAGGTCACAGCATCAGTTTCTTGTCTTAGTGAATGTGGTCACTCACCACATTTGGGATAGGCCACCAGCATGATGTCGTCCTCTCGGGCCTCGATGTTCTCCAGAGCCGTCAGGTGGTCCTCAGGGCACATGATGCTCGGGTACAGGACGCCTCTGTATCTGTAGAGCTTCTCCTCTTCACTGATCTGCTTTGCCATCTGCATCCTGGACTGCAGCTTGGCCGAGAAGGTGTTAGTGTCCATCCTGAATCTGAGCCGTCAGAGGAAACTCTGCTTCTTCTCACTGAGGGTCAAGAGATTCAGCTCTACTTCAACACTCACACACACACACACGGCAGGAAAATGAGAAGCTGCTTTCTGAGTGTCCGTCTGCGAGGAGCGAGCGAGGAGCACTGACAGAGAGAGAGAGAGAGAGAGAGAGAGAGAGAGGGTTTGTGTGTGGAGCAAAAGGAGGAGGCAACAAGCACCTCCCACTGCTACACACACACACGCACGCACACACACACACACACACACATGTTGGTGTGACTAATGGGAGGTACATGCTGACAATCTTAGTGTTCACATACAACATGTTGCACAATACATTTATATTTAATTTGTTTCCTATTCATATAGTTTTTATTTTTATACTTGCACAAATACAACACACACACACACACAAATAAATTACCTTCGTTAAAGTCCGATCATCGTGTCGCTCTGGTTTCTGTGCAGCTCAGAGTCCGACTGGTCGAACCGACCTCCAAAGAAAAACACAAACTGAAGATTAAAAGCCTCCAGAGACCAGATTCCACTTCAGACGCTTAAAGAACAGAAACTTACAAATAGAAACGTCAGTCTTCTCCTCCTTCTCCTACATTTTCTCTGTTCCCCCTTTTCTTTAAAGTGAATCCAGTGATTTGCTGCTTCACAGCAGACAGATAATGTCCCATAAATAAATAACTCTGTGTTTTCTAACTCAAATATAGAGAAAAATACACAAAACTAGATGATGTCACTATGACATCATCAGGGTTATCTGTGATAAAGAGGCCTCAGCACACACACAGGAGGCACGGGGACGTCTTGAGTTTATTTCAAAGTTACTCAGTGAACTGGGACGAGAGGGGAATCTGTGGAGGTGGCGATGATGGAGCGTGACCGGTGAGGCGGAGCAGAGAATGAATGGGGTTGTGTTCCAGGAGGGTGAATAAACATTTGTTTTAACGGAGACAAGCTGCTGAGACAGTTTAGTCCTGCAGCACAGGGGGGAAACATTAGAGCAGGACACAGAAGCACTGTCACACAAAAAGCTGAGGAGTCGACCAACAATCCCCCAGCGAACCAGTCACACACACAACCACACAACTGATCTTAAACCGGAGTTAACAGTCCTCTGACCCCCGGTGTGGAAGTCAACTGTCAATAAAGATGGACGACACATCTCCACGTCCACTGGACGTGTCTCTGATTATTAAGTGGTAAACTTTACATTTTTGAAAAGCATCAGACTCAGACATCAGTTAAACTGAACCTATGTAAAATAATCTATAATCAGGTTTTAATGCTACGTTATTTCCCCCAAAAACAGCAACACGACATCAGTTCGTCCAGTTCGGTCCAGATGTTAACATCTGTGTGATGCTGGTTTACAGAACGGTGGCTCAGACATCCTGAAAAACACAAACTGTTCCTGCAGAGTTAAAGGAACACCAGCGTTCTCTTGGGGCCAGCATCATGAGAACCAGACACAGGCTGGAGGCGTCTGCAAACATTTGGCCTTGCAGCGTATTTGTAGAAATACGCTGCCGCTCATAGTTTTGTCCCGAGGACGAGAAACACTGAGATTCTGATCAACACGTCGAACACTGAGGATGAACCAGGAAATGTCAGAAAGATTAGTGTTTCTTTTTCTCTAAGAAAAGGAATGTGGCATTACACACACACACACACACACACACACACACACACACACACACACACACACACACACACACACAATAAGCACTATTCATCATCTCTGAGTTCACATCTGGACAGTGACAGCTCTGGATGGAGCCAGATGTTGTGCATATATTTAAAAACAAGCTTCACATTTCCTCTGCGGACACGTTGGATCATTAACTGTATTATTTTAAATGCTGGTCCTGCTGAAGGGTCATTTATCAGAGGGGTCTCCGTCGTGGCAGGAAACAGATCCAGGGGCCGTTAGAGGCTGAGAGCCAGATGGAGGAAATTAATTTACTGTCTGAAAAACTCAAAGTAAATGTCTGACCTCACTCCCTCCCTCGTTCTTTCTGTTAATGCTGGTTTATGTCTCTCATTGGTTTCACTTGGAAATATGATAAGAAAAATAATGAGATGATGTTTGGGTCTTTTTCTGTCGAGCACTTCATCATCAGATATAACTCGTTTCTCCATTTAACCCCTCTCTCCTTCATTTCCTCTCTCC